CATGAAAAATCACAAAAGGTTTGTTCCCACATGTATTTCAAATTTTTCGAGTGGACTGACGAAGATTGAGTTTTAATTTCAGCCGGACTGACAAACGACTTTTCACAGAATAACCTTGAGTTTTGGTGAAAAGTTATATTCCTCTGAAGGCTACAGGAACCAACTTAACTGATCAAAAATATACTAATCACACAATAATGAGTATCTAACCATTACATCCTAACATACATCTATTCAAAAGATATTAATAAGCCACAACTCTGAGTATAAAACTTATTCTGATCTGCAATGAATACCTCCCCCATCGGCCTCTTACTCTGTCCAGTCTGAGGTTCTGCCTGGAGGAAGCACTAACAAGCCAGAACCAGGGACGCGGGGGGATGGGGGGTCAACACTGCTCAGGCAGCTATCCAGAGAACTTACACTGGCCTACAAGAAATAAAAGTGTGATTGGGCCCTGAAGCAGAGAGAAAGATGAGGAGAAATACAAAGGAGAAGGGAAAATGGATCATACAATGCTTGACTTCAGCTGGTAGAAAAGTGTCATTGCTCCTGTAGAAAACATTCAAAAGAAGAGTCAACCTTCTTGTTTTGGTGGATTTTATGGAAGTACATATGTGTCGCTAGGATTTGAATTAAAGATGCCACTGAAATTTTTATGTTGTATGTTCGCATTTAATTTTTCAGTGTTAAGATATATTCAGAATACATTTTTAACCTACAAAAATTCATTGTCATTATTTCTATTTGTTTAAAATTTCATTTATTTTCACTTTAAGCTAAAAATTCACATTATTATTTCAAAGTGATCACATATCCAATAGCTGTTTTTTAGTGTAACTTTTAAGTGTTAAAAAATTCGGCATATAAAAAAAAACTTCAACCTTTCAAAATTCAAACTCAATATTTTCAGTTTCCTAAGATTCAACTGGCTCAGTTTCGCTGTCTGAAATTCAGCGTCTAAAAATTCAGTGTGAAAAAGGCAGGGTTACTTCAGGTCACAGACATTAGCAAAGGATGTCAGAATCCAACACCCACATCCACTTTCTTAGGTCGTTTTCGCACCAGATAGTCCGGTAGACTCTGTTCGGGACCAATATTAATGACATTTTGTTTACATTTGAGCTGGTGCGTTTGCATTCACACTGCACTGTGCAGTCGAGTCAACCTGTTGAACCAACCTGTTCCCCTGCTCGCCTGTGGGGGCGCTGCACCAAGAACTACTGAAAGAAACGAAACAAAACCTCTGAAGACACGTCTTCTTCTTCTGTAAATAAAAACGAAGTGGCATCAAGTGTTAGCAGTTTTAGGAGTTATATTTTGTCATTTTTCAAAAAATGGACTTAGCATGAGCAGAAGATGAGACAGAAGACCATGGAGAATATTGTTTTTCACATAAGGCAGCTGACGGCTCCATATAAGGTCAGAGAAATGCGTGTTTGTTTGTCCTGCGGAGCGGGTCCGATCTGTTTACATTCACACTGTACTCGAACTACGCTGGAGTTCTCTTCTACCGGACCGAGACCTAGGTTTTAGCCCGGGCCAGAGTTCGCCTTTTTGTTCCGTGACAGAGATTGATGGCGCGTTCACACCTCCCTAAATGAACCAGACTTTCTAGGAAAACGAGCTAGAGTTCGATTAAAGCGGACTAAACAGGGCTGGTGTGAATGCACCCTTAGTCACATGATGTTACTCTTGTTGCGCTAATTTTGAAGGAAAATTTCATGTCCGAGGCGGTCATGGAAGCTAACGCTAACTCAACGGTGAGTTTAATGCTTTCATTTTTCTGTAGTATGGTTTATGTAGTATCGAACTTCATGTGCAAAAAACAAACAAACAAACAAACATACAGACAACATCATGTGACTAAGAAAGCGGATGTGGGTGTTGGATTCTGACATCCTTTGCTAATGTCTGCGACCTGAGGTAAGGAACCCTGCCTTTTTTACATTGAATTTTTAGAGGCTGAATTTCAGACAGCGAAACTGAGCCAGTTGAATCTCAGGAGACTGAAAATATTGAGTTTGAATTTTGAAAGGTTGAATTTTTTTTTTATATGCCCAATTTTTCAACACTTAAAAGTTACACTGAAAAACAACTATTGAAAATGTGATCACTTTGAAATATTAATGTGAATTTTTAGCTTGAAGTGAAAATAAATGAAATTTCAAACATATAGAAATAAGGACAATTATTTTTTTTTAGGTTAAAAATGTATTCTGAATATATCTTAACACTGAAAAATTAAATGTAAACATACAACATTAAACAACAAAGTCCATGCTCAATAATCCAGGTATACAATCCAACATTTTTCAGTCAGGTCATCTGGACAGTTTCTTTTTTTTGTGCTGAAACGTTTCGCCTTCGATCCGGAAGGCATCATCAGTCAAGGATGCCAGATCGAATCCAGTTCAAAATACTCCTGTATGTCTACAATTCGCTGAACAGTTTTGCTCCCATCTCTCTTCTGATCTGCTACAGCTGGATGTTCCACCACGTTCCCTGAGGTCAGCGAACCAGTTGCTCCTCACAGTTTCAGGAACTCGTCTTAAGCACAGAGGTGACAGGGCCTTCTCTGTAGCAGGACCAAGCCTTTGGAATGAGTTACCTCTGTTTGTCAGACAGGCCCCCTCCCTCTTGGTTTTCAAGTCCCGTTTAAAAACTCACTACTGTTCAGTAGCTTTCAACACCAGAGGATCTGTGTTTTGAACCTGACTGCTCCACACTGGTTTGTCGTCATATTTATTATCTGCATCGTTTTTATGTCTATATTCTGATTTACCTCATTTTGTATATTGTTTTGTGTGTTGCCTGTTTTTCTGTCTGTACAGCACTTTGGTTGGCCTTGTAGCTGTTTTAAGTGCTCTATAAATAAAATGGTATGGTATGGTAAGTCAATGGAGGAGGGGGCTTGACAAAGAGACCATCTTAGCACCAACATAACTGGTTTGTTCCACTTTGGAGTAAGCTGTTGGGGGAAGAATCAGTTTTGTTGTGTGTTTTCTTGACTGATGAAGCCTTCCGGATCGAAGGCGAAACGTTTCAGCACAAAAACAAAATTAAACTGTCCAGATGACCTGACTGAAAAACGTTGGATACAACATCAAAATTTCTACTGCATTTTTAATTCAAATCCTAGCGACACATATTTACTTTCATAGATTTGAAGAATCTGTCCACCTGCTATACAATTTATTTTCAAAACACATGTTTAGTAGAGCAGCTGAGTCCACTGTGCCTTGTTATCTGTGTTCAAGCTGGGAACTGTGTTCAAACGGAGCAGAAGCAGCACAAGAGCAGCTGTTGATCTCCACCGGCTGGTCTCTGGACTGAGGGCGCACGGGTGCACGGAGAGCATATGAAACACTGGAGCAACATGAATCCACAGGCTTCCACTTATTGGCAAATACTGTAATATATCCATTGTACTGTTTGTCATACATGTCAACCATTAAAGACATAAAATATAAACTGGGCTTTCCACTAGAGCTAAATTTTATTCCATCTCCTCGAGGCTAAACAGTTTTGATAAGATTCCTCTCCTGAGTACGTGGAGAGCAGAAATGATGCTGTTGTGGAAGGTTTGCTCTCGAGAATTGATTTTCAATCACTTCATTTTGGAAGTGGGCGACCGGCAGACAGGAATGAGCAACAAAGACAGGTGGGGAACGGTGCAGATGTAAGTTGACAGATCAGAACAAAGACAGGTTATATCTGAGAGATGAAAATTCAAGTTTTTGTTGCAAATAATTATAAGTATAAAAAAACCTGTTTAGCGACAGACACACAGAGAGGTGAAAACTGTCACAAGCCTTTCTTTGATTTAGACCTCCTCACACACACAAAAATACCCCAATGAAAAGTACGAGACCGGCAGTGATGGTTGTTCAGCATAACTTTACTATTTTATAAAATCTGATTTATAAACTAAATTATACAAAGAATATCAAAACACATTAAAAACAATGTGCATTAAAAAAAAACTTTAGTGCTGCCTGACATTTTCTGTATCATCCCAATATTTTTATGTTTTGGTCAGCAGCGCAATAATTTAGAAAGAGTTTATTCCCACATGAGCTTAAACATCCAAAAGTGTTTGGCTTCATGGTCTTACATCAAAAATGAGCAAAAACAGTACCCGATTCTATAATTTATGTAAACCCTACAAGCGAACCGGGGTCAATAGATGTGTGGGATCAAGGATTAAATGAGCTTAGAAGAAAAGACTTCCCAAAGATCATCTGATTTTAGATTAAAAGAGAACACAGCAGATAGACATTGTAAATGAACGTATGTATTAAAAATGTATTATGACCAACAAACATTTTGTCTTTGTATTTAATCAGCATCTTTTATTTTAGATTCAATACAAAATTAAGAGTTGACGTTGACCATGTGGAAGTTTCTTTCTTACACACATAAAAATGCAACTACTCCTCTTCCTCTTGGCCTTTTGGTTCTCCATCACCTTGAACTCCAAAGTCTTGTGAGCATCAGCACCTTGTTACTATAAACAGATCCATGTAGCCATAATGAGGAAATGTAGCAATAAGCACACCCAGCATCCATTATTCAGGCTGACTCCCACAGCACCAATCAAGCAGCTTCTAATTAAGCATCTTCTTCATTTCAGTCTAAATATTTGCACATAAACCTTCTGCTGAGTTCTGGCATTAAAAGGGAAATGAAGAAATCTAAACCTCCAAAGTATTTTAGGATTGTTTTGTGATAAAACACCTAAAAGGCTTCAAGTGGAGTTATAAAGAAACGTTTCTCCACTTCCACTGCTCGAACATCTGATTTTTTAATTTATATTTCAAGTTTAAGTGCCTCTTTTTGAAACAAGACAGCCAAATGACACGAGATAGTCTGTCTTTGTGAATAAAGACAGATTTAAGTGTGCGCTCCTCTGGGTGGCACACCTGCCTCAGACAGCATCCAGGCGAGGTCGCAGCTGGCCGCACTGCGCTTCTCTGAAGCATCACCAGCAGACTCACCTCCTGTAGCTGCTCCAACTCCTTCCTGAGAGCCTCCTGCTCGCTTTCCAGCTCTCCGTACTTCTGTTTGAGGGCCTGGTTCTCCTCCAGGACGGCCAGACCGCACTCCGCAGCCCGGATCTTCTCCCGGTTCGCCTCGGCCAGCTCCTGCGCGAGCCTCTCCACCTCGGCCCGGTACTGATCCACGGACTCCCCGCATCCTCCACCGGCGGCCATCACCTCTCTCTGGACAGTTTCACAGTTTCTTTCTTTATTTTTTTTTTGTTTATGTTCCTCCCAGCAGCTCCTCGGTCTCAGAGAGGCAGAGCCGGAGAGAGACGGGCGGAGGCTGAGGGATGCTGAGTGTCCGCCCCTCCTCTGTCCTCCTGAGGCAGAAACAGAAGTAAAATAAATAAATAAAATAAAAGCACAACATTTATTTTAAGGCAGTCTGAAGAAGAAAGTCTTGGACAATATAATGACAAATGAAGCCTCTCTGTTCTAAACAAGGTGTTCTTTTCTTTGACACAGCGAAGCAGAGGGTAAAATGTCCAATTGTTCATGCGTCAAATGGCGCCACCTGCTGGTTACTTACAGAAACGTCTTTATCCTGTTCTATTATT